AGACATTACTCTATACATTTTTAGATCGTCTGCAAACAGAAGGAATTCCGAAGACTGAAAGCAGGATGCAACATCACTGATGAAGATATGTAGAAAAAGTGGTCCGATGTGGGACCCAGACGGCACGAAATTCGTTAGATGAGAAATTGTTGATTTCTACAATTTAAATCCTATTCGCAAAATATATAGCTGTCCAGCCAGCAGAGTAATGGTTAATTTATACCCATCGTTTTAAGTTTGTCTGTCAGTACATTATGTGGAATCTTATCAAAAGCCTTGGAGAAGTCTGTATAGACGGAATGAAACTCCGCTTCACTTTGTGCAAAAAAAACTAAGAATAGGCAGGGAAATTAAGCTCAGTATTTCTACCCACACAGAAGCCAAACTGCTGCTTAAAGATTTCAGGAGACAATAGTCTTTATATACTTAGTTACAAGGTTTTCAAAAATTTAAGAGGATGGTATTGATGATGCAAATGGGCCGGCAATTTTTTGTCGGACTTGCCTCCAGATTTATGTTTTGGGACGACAAAACTTGTTTTTCAGAATTTGGGAAAAGATCCACTTTCCAAAGATTTATTAAATATAAGGTGTAGGGGCCTAGCGAGAATAAAGGGGCAGTTTTTTAGAAAGACAGGATGAATATTATCAGGACCTGGACCTTTGTGAGGCTAATAAGCTCAGTGTATATGTCACATTTGGAAATGGAGTATTTGTGAACAATAATATGATTTAATGAAAACTTTTGATTGCATTATGGGTGGGTTACAGGCAGAGTAGAACGAGGAAAAATAACTTGCAGATCATTGTATTCTTCCGCTCCTAATAATACTCCTTAGTGGGAATGAGATGAATGAAACAAGGAATGCATTGCGTTCTTAACCCTTAACTGGTCGCTAGATTTTATTTTACATAACTGGTCGCTTGGCGTACTTTGTACGCCACTTAAATAAAGATGTTTTTTCATGATACGGACGAATTTTGCTACCTTCAAAGTAATGTGGAATCCTTAGTAACTTCAAGTATTGATTTATCAACACATAAAATATTAGATATAATGTGTCACAGAAAAATAAAAATAGCTATTTATGTACCAATGGGATTATGTAGATTATAATGCCCGAAGCCGAAACTAGCCCGAGGGCCTCTCGCCCGAGGGATATGTTTCGCCTGAAGGGCATTATAATCTTGAAATCCCCGTGGTGCATACAATGCTTTATTTTCTACTCAACACAATGTTTTTTCATCATTTATTATTAACAAAATCAGTTAAACTTTTGTGACAGAATATTGTTTTGCATTTTGACATGTACCTGAACCTGTGACCTATACCTGTACCTGTGACCTGTACCTAGAAACGAAATAAATTAATATATCTATAAACATCTCATAAAGCAAGGCAACGGTGGTGGTCGTGTGGGTTAACGCGCTGGACTACATGGGAAACGTTGATGGTAGACCGGACACCTCAAGATATTATAAGCGGGCGTTATAGATCATAACGCCCGCAAAAGCGGGCGTTATGGATCAGGTTGTTATAGGTATGTTAGCGTATTTCGTTGCCTAGGTATTATGGATCTATAATAGTTAAGTAGAAAATAAAGCATTTTATTTATAAAAAATAAAAAAATTATGACAACCGAACAAACTTCATATTCTGAAATCCTTTGGCTAAACGGGTATAGCAAAACACATAAAACTAACATTTTCAATCCCAACCACATAAATGTGGTTGGTGGATCGCTACTTTTCCAGTGTATACAAGACACTATGGTGGTAGGTTGCAGAGGCGATCACCTTCGGCCAATCGCTAGTTTCAATATGTCACGTGTTTGAACTCGTTTGGCGTACTTTTTACGCCAGCGCGACCAATTAAGGGTTAATTTCAACCTAATTTTTTAACAGTTGAAGTTATATCAACTTTTTTTTGCATTCGATTTATAATATAGGGACGAATGGCGCTATCTTTTTAAAAATCCGATAATAGAAACAAGTTTTCGAAAAATTACAAAAATGTAATTTAAATTGGAAAAAAACAAGAAAGTTAATCAATTTATGGTGTTTTTTTTTTTAACTAGCGCCATTCTTATGTGTGTTAGCAATACAATGGCGCAAACCAGAATTCCAAAAATTATCTAGTTTTTTTTGTAGAAATTTATTCATTTTTTTTTTGTCATTTTTTCTGTCTCCGTTATGCCTGCAGCAAACCCTATGGCTCTTTCCTCCGCCTGTTTTGCGATACATTTTAAGTCGCCTTGATGAACTATCCAGCGCGGACGGGCTCAACAGTAGCCCAATGCAAATAATGCAATGATCGCGATGAACCTCGCGACTTTATTAGTATTAACTTGTTGGGTAGTTGTATAGTTCGACGTGCGTTACAATATATTTTAAACGGCGTATTCAATCCCCTTAAACGGAAATTGGTTACCCGTGATATTTGGATGAAATTTGAATATGTTATTGGGGATGCCGCAAGCAACATTTTTTACCATGCGCGCAACCTTTTATATATGACAGGTGAGGTGGTATCAGATGTCAAATATTGGAATCTGATATTTAAAAGCAAGGTAACTATGGCAGATTTTGATGGAGTAAATATCGATTTCTAGTAAGTTGAAAAATGTCAACCATTTTGACATCTGTCAAAACCCTGCCAAACGACAGCACTCATATTTTTCAGTTTTCAATATTTCATGAGGTGTCATTTGACACTTTTAGTTTATGTAAATTTTAAGTTCAAAAATTGAAAAAAAAAAAAAAAATACAAAACTGTCAAAACCTGTCATTTATTTTAGTAGGAAAAAATATTATTATCTGGTTCTAAGGTAGTTTATTGGTGATAAAATATTAAACAAAGCTCAAAGACATCAAATTTTGACAGCTGTCAAATCTGTAACCTGCATGTAAAGTTTTTTAATGCTTTATCATAAATGAGCATTACTTAAATAATTAGGCATTCCAACGACCTGTCAAAAAGTGCGTTGTGGCAAAAGTTCATTATCCCGTATATGAGAGTATGTAATTTAAAGCTTTTTAAAGTGCATTTTGTGGTTGTTTTGTGAATGAACTCTGTTTATTTTTTTATTTTATTGACTTCATTGGTGTTTCTTCCAATTAAAAATGCCACAAACGGGTCTTGAAGTTGATTGTGGAAGTAGTTTCAACAAGGTAACAAGGATGATGTCAGGCTTTTTTCATTGCCCTTTATTTTAAAATTTTCCAGTTAAAACGTGAAAATTTTTCACTACCACTGTTCTAGCATCCGAAATAACCGGCACGTTGGCGCTTTGATAAAGGACGACAGGACGCCCTACTCAAAGCCAAGCAACGCGGTGTCGGGTTGGAGATTGGATGGGTGACCGCAGTAGTACGGGACGGTGGGTCGACCGCGCTGCCGCCAATCATCTGATCTGCAAGTATGAATGAGAAGTATGAATGAGAGAAGTATGAATGAGAAGGAGTAGAGCCCATACGAATGACATACAAAAAGCCTATTAAGGCTGCAGTGTACAGTATGGGCTCGAAAGGGTGAAACCAAAAATCTAAAATCTAGCATCTGAAATAAAGCCATTTTGGATATATTCGTAAGATTCTAAGCTTTTGTAGGCCTTCATTTGCTCATTAATGTGAACTGTGGATCAAAATGTCATCTGGACATTTTTTAAAACTAACCGTTCGCCCAGATCCCGATTTTCCTGCATTCAAGTCTTTAAATATTCACTCTGCATCTCAAAAAGTAGATTATAACAAAGTAAACTGTAATTAGCTTGAAAATATTCCAAATAAACTCAAGATAAACAAACAAACGTCAAATTTTCCACGGTCGCCATATTGAAAAATCACGTAGTTTGGAGAGCCTAATTGGAACAGAACTAGATTTGAGTCTTTTTTTAATCAAAGCATTGTCAGATTCTGACAGCTGTCAAAATTTGATGTCTATGAGCTTTGTTTAATGTTTTATCATATACAGTGAGTTCATCAAGTCATGCATAAATTTATTATTTTGAGAACGGTAGAATTTTTGAAAAATCGCTCAGACACGGCAATTTTGTTTTTTTGTTTGAAATTTTTTGATATACTTTTTATCATACAGGGTGTCTCAAAAATAACTTCGCTGGTATCAACTTCATTTTTTTAAATGGTACCCCCTGTATATTAAGACATTTCTGGATTCTACAGTAAATTCTAGACATATTTCATGTACCATATACCTATCTTCAACTGTTTCGGAAATATTGACAGTTGAAAATTGACTTTTTTGCATCTTTGATAGACTCTAAAACCTGAACGGTTGATTTTACAGCAAAACCGATTTTACATTCCTATCTTAGTTTTTCATAAACTATCATTTGACATCAACTTTGGACTATCATTTGACATCAACTTTGGAGGTAATCCATGATTAAAAATTCCGGTTAAATTTAATCTCCGCTTTAATTCAAAGTTGGTGTCAAGTGGTAGCTTATGCAAATCTATGATGGGAATGTGAAATCGGTTTTCCTCTAAATTTTACTGTGTAGGTTTTAGAGCCTGTCAAAGTTGCAAAAAAGTCAATTTTCAACTGTTAATATTTCCAAAACAGCTGAAGATAGGTATATAATATTGTACATTAAATATGTCGAGAATTTTTCGCAAAATCCAGAATTGCCAAAATATAGAGGGGGTACCATTTAAAAAAATAAAGTTGATACCAACGAAGCTATTTTTGAGACACCCTGTATGATAAAAATTATATCAAAAAATTTCAAAAAAAAAATAAAAAATGACGAGTCTGAATGATTTTCGAAAATTCTACCGTTTTCAAAATTATGAATTTATGCGGAACTTTATGAACTCACTGTATAATACCACAAGAGAAAAAAAAATTGTTGTCTAGCGATCTCGGCGGCGCACGAGAATATCCCTACAAATGGCCCACAAGTGCGTTTTTAAAAATGCAGCCACAGGCCGGGATATTTTGAGGTCACCTGCGCAGATAAGACCAGCGTGGGGTGGCTAATGGAAACGGTGCCAACACTCAAGCCCTGGGAGGGCACAGTGTTAAAGGCATTAACAGGCGAGGACTTGCCAAAGCCAGAGACCTGCACCGTCTTCAACTCTGACGAGAAGGGAGACAGACTATCCGCCGAGAGAATCCTCAAGGAGTTCTCAGTGGGAAACAGAGGCCTGAACACAACCCTGTGGAAGTCCTGGGGCTCAGTCCCAATGAACAAAGGCCAGCTCTGGACCCTCTCTATGAACAAGCAGTCGCTAGAGGGCCTGGAAAAACTGGACATGAGCCCTTCCTTCAGATTTGGAAGGCTGAAGTTCAGGAGGAAGCGGGAAAAGAAGCTCGAGGACAAGGTCCAGCATACCGCCGTAGGTCCTAAGTCCAGCACATCAAAGGCCGACGCTACGGTACCGGAGGAGAAGAAACAGGATTGCGAAACTAAGGAACCCTTCAACCAAAGAGGCACTAGTCCGCTGAAAAGACACACAGTCTACCAGCAGAAGGACATTGCCATGGAAGAAGAGGTTCTACTAAGGAGCCACTCTCCCAGCCCTACTTCGTAGAAATGGCTACCATAAAGGTCATCCAAATCAACCTTCACCATGCCAAGGCTGCCTCAGCCGTGCTGTGTAGAAGGTTTCAAAAAGAAGCCCTTGACATAGCCCTCATACAGGAACCGTGGCTAAACAACGGAGCCATCAGAGGACTAAACCCGCCCGGTGGTAAGTTACTGTATCATTCAGAGGCTAACAATCCAAGAGCCTGTATTCTATACAACAGTAATAAAATTAGCTGCTCACTAATACCGGAGCGATGCTCCGGTAATTTTGTTACAGTACAGGCAACCGCAAAAACAGCAGAGGAAGGGCCCACGTCCTGGGTAATCTGCTGCGTCTACTTTCCTGGAGAAAAGAGGACCTGTCCCTCATATCTGATGGAGGATGCCGTGGCCCACTGTAGGGGGACCGAGGACGACGACGACTTATCGTTGGAGGCGATGTAAACGCCCATCACACAATCCGGGGAAGCACCAACACAAATGTCAGAGGTGAGTCCTTGCATGAATTCATAATGGGTGAAGGGTAAGATATAGCTAATATAGGCGTAGAACCCACTTTCGTAACATCAGTCAAGCGTGAGGTCCTTGATCTCACTTTTTGTAGCGATGATGTCAACGACAACATTACGAACTGGCATGTCTCCGATGAACCATCATGTTCAGACCATCGCCACATAAGGTACGATATCATAACTTCAAAATTGAAGACCAGGAAATTCCGTGACCCAAGAAGGACTAACTGGCAAGGCTACGAGACAGCCCTAGAGGAGTCACTCAGGGGGGGCGTAACCATCTCCACAGCGAAGGGTCTTGACCTGGCGGCAGAACACCTGAGCGAGGCAATACAAGAGGCCTATCAGGATAACTGTCCTGAGCCAACAAGACAACAAAGGAAAAAGACAGTCTGGTGGAACAAACACCTGGAGGGTCTTGGATCTGACGTTTGAAGCCTATTTAATAAAGCCTAAATTAACCAGGACTAGAATACGTACAGAACAAAACTTACGCAGTACAATAAGGAGATCCGCAAGGCAAAAAGAATGTCATGGGAGTGATTCTGTGAAGAAATCATAGAAACGCCGGTGTGCGCTAGGCTGTACAAAGTCCTTGCAAGGAAAGGCACTGCGGGCGCTCTCGGCCCCCTAAAAAGATCGAACGGGGCGCATTAATTCATTCCGTACATTTATATGGCACCTAGCACAATCCCATTGGTCAGATTTAAAATTTAAGCCAATTAAACTTCGAGTGACAAACGCGTTCACGGAATGTGAATCAGTGCCATATGCACCTACGGAATGTTATACCTAGTTATTGCGGCAGAAAAAAAAGCTGAAAACGAGTTATGCGTCGAGTATTCTTCAACTATAGGTATCTATTTTACACTGCTGTAAATACTGTATCTCAAATTAAGTGCTAGTATGGCGTATTGATTTTCTAATTTTATTATGGAATTTCGAATGTAATAATTAGGTTACTAAGTATTATTAACACATTACAAACATGCGGTGTATCAATCTAAGTTTCGGTGAGCACAGAAAATATACATAGTATCAGAACGAAAGCGGAAAGCGTCAATATGTTTATTGAATAATATAACAAAACAAGAAAGCTTTATACAAAATGAGTGAACTAGAAGTGCTAAATTCGCTATTTTAAGAAAACATTAGACCAATCACATTCTGAAAGTTGATGGTCATGGTGAATTTGTCAATGACACAAATTCTTCCACCCATCTTCTAGCGTCATTTTCAGCAAACCTAATTGCTCCATATTTTCCAGGAGTCTGTTCAAAATATTTATAATAGAAAAGTAGCAACGTTGTCGCAGCATGCATGGCGATTTTAAACATCTAAATAAACACAAGAGATCTGATTAAAATAATGTCGGCGAAGCAATAACTGCCAATTTCTTGTTCGAAAAATTTTTGAAAAAATCAAAAGAGAGGACGCAACGCCAAACTCCATAGAAGTACCTACCTACCTATGTGAGCCCGACAATCATAAAAATAAAACAGGATATTTGGCCGCTGAAGACGTGATTTTGCGTGCGCATAACGCATAACTAGGTTTATTACAATCCGTAAGTGCATATGGCACTGATTTACATTCCGTACGCGCGTATGGCACTCGAAGTTTAATTGGTGTAAATTTTGAATCTGCCCAATGGGATTGTGCTTGGTGCCGTATGCATTTATTTACGGAATGAATAAATGCGAACGGGGCCTACACGAGCACTAACGAGGAAAGCTTAGGGCTATTACTAGATACCCACTTTCCAGGATAATCTATAATCACTGATCAATCTAGGCCGAAATATCAAGTCCGAAAGCCCAGAAGACCATTAAAGGTGGACTGGGACAGGGCAAAGGAACTGGTGACATATGAGAGAATTAACTGGGTCATAGGTGAATTCCACCCCTTTAAATCGCCAGGCCCGGATGCATTTTCCCGTTTCCTATTGGGTTACCGCTACCTGGAGCGCTAATCCTTTAGGACTTGTAAAATTATATCTGGCATTGCGTTTCCTATTAGGCCAGCGCACATTGTCTACCGCTACATGGAGCGCTAATCATATAGGACGTTAACAGACATCCATTGCACTACAATCTATTTCATTATCGTTGTCATTTTTCGAGGTTAATTAGTGGTTACAGGTGGTGCAAGAATTTTGTAATATTTCTCGTTGTGTCTGCTTTATTATCTCTGTTGATTCTGCACTGAGAAATCCTCTAGTCAAAAATTCTTTACTCATGGATTTTTGGCTATCATAGCAGAAATTTTAGCTGTAATTGCAAAAAGATCCTATTCTATGTAGTAGTAGAGCGCACTTTACTAAGTTAGCAAAAAGTACCTTGGTTGTAACAGTAAAGTTCTTTGCTGCCACTAATATTTTTTTCCTGTAACAGTAGAAACACTTTGTATTATTAATAAGTATATTTTGTACCGTGGCAAAGTGCTTGCCTGCAACTATGAAAAAGTTTTTCATAAGTTTTTTCTTATTACTGCTGGAAAGAATTTGACTCCTACAAAAAAAGTTGAACCCTGCAAGTTGTTTTATTAACTATTACCCAACCCAATGTCAAAAGTCATGTAACAGCATGGTTGGCAAAATGAGCGTAGTTATTTAATTTATGTGCGCTTGCCTAATAGGAAACGCGATGCTAGATAAAATTTTACAAGTCCTAAAGGATTACCGCTCCATGTAGCAGTAACCAAATAGGAAACGGAAAAATGCGGCCCGGATGGAATCTACCCAGCACTGCTCCAGAAAGGTCAGGACATACAAATGCCACACCTTTGCAACATTTTCAGAGCATGCATTGCTTGGGGCCACATACCAGAAGTTTGGCAAAAGGCGACAGTCGCCTACCTGTCAAAGATTGGCAGGTGCCTAGACAGAACGTTCAAGTCATACAGACCTATATGTCTATCCTGGTTCCTGCACAAAACACTGTGGATAGAAACATCAGGGACCGCACACTGACACTCTATCCTCTAAGCGATCGCCAGTATGCCTACCAACCAGGAAAGTCTACGAACTCCGCACTGGATGACCTAAACAGACTCCTGACAAAGTCAATTGATGACAAAGAGGTAGCGGTATGGACGGTCCTGGTCGACGATCTCGTGGCAAAAATGGCCAAGGAGAGATCCTACTGCCTTTGCTACGCGGATGATATAGTCCTGGTAGTCAGAGGCGGGCATCTAGAAAGAAGTCAAAAAGCTCTGAACATAGTAGATAACTGGTGTAGGGATGAAGGCTTGTCAGTTAATCCGCAAAAAACCGTGATTTTCCCGTTTACAAAGAAAAAAGTCCTAAGCTCAATGGAGCGGAAATCCCTTTCTCAAAAGAGGTAAATATGTAGGAGCTATTTTTGACCAAAAGATGACCTGGGGTCTATACCTCAATAAATTTGTCCAGAAGGCCAAAATTTCCCTGGGGAGATGCAGAAGGCTCTGTGGAAAAAGCTGGGGACTTAGTCCAAAGATCAATCCATGGCTATACAAAATGGTGATAAGACCAATGATAAACGGGTGCCATGAAAACAGCCCCAACCGCAGTCTTGGAGGTGCTGCTAAACCTGTCGCCACTACATATCTACATACAGGGTGAAGTAAAGGCGGTATTATACAGACTGAAGCAAGGCCAGGGTCCAATTATAAAACACCAGAGGCCCATGAGCTGGAAAATAGAGGAGGACCCAGAGGACAACTCATTGTTCGGGATGCCCTCAGACAAAACAAAACCTATTTTCATTTTCAATAGGCACTTCCAGGTTGCCATACCAGAGAGGAAAGACTGGGAGTAAGGTCCTCAAATTAAAGCAGACCGCATCTGGTACAACGACGGCTCCAAGACTAGCAAGGGCGTCGGAGCCGGCATCTACGGGGACAAACCTTGGGTGGAAATATCCACAAGTCTCGGACAGTACGTCACGGTATTTCAGGCGGAAATCGCTGCAATAATGCACTGTGCCATACTGATAAATGGAAGGAAAGTTGGAAGTAAAAACATCGTTATTTACTCGGACAGCCAGGCGGCCCTAAAGGCAATCAGCTCCCAAAAGATCAGCTCCAAGCTGGTTGGAGACTGTGTACGTGCCCTAGAGGAGGTGGGCCTGTTGAACAAACTTACCATAGCCTGGGTACCAGGCCACGAGGGCCACCCAGGAAATGGAAAGGCTGATGACTTGGCCAAAGGAGGCTCGGCCACTGAGATGATAGGCCCAGAATTATTCTGCGGAATTTCTGCAGGCAGTTTTAAAACATCTATTAAGAACTGGATAGACAGAGAGTTCCAGAGCTGGTGGCAGCGAACACCAGGAAAGCGACAGGCAAAGCAGTTTATCAAATCCTGCTCGCCCAAGTTCACAGCGGACCTACTAAGCCACAGCTGCAAGATTGTTAGCATAACAGTAGGCCAATTAACAGGGCATTGTAAACTCAACAAGCACCTGAAAAGAAT